TTTGCTAATCTCATGCCCAAATGCTGGACATGTGTAATTGCAAGTCTCTGGATGTTCTGGGCATTGATGGTAAAAATCTGTCAAATACAAAAACAATGTCCCTGAAACAGGAGTGTGTGCAAGGGGTGAATGTAGGGGTGGGGGTGGGGCTTGCTATGGTGCAGAATACATCACATGGGTTTTTAATCTCTGCTGAAGTTGATTCAAGCATCTACACCTGCAGTTTGTCTCTTGCAAACACCTGGATTCCAGCTCTTCATCTCCACATGCGTCCTAATTTGGAAGAGAAAGGAGAAGTTGGCATGATAAATACTGCCTAAAGAATTCAACCTTCAAGTCAAAAGTCATGCCATGGCAACCCTGCAGCAGAGTACAGTATAGGTAGTCCTTAACTTACAGCCACAGTTGAGCCCAACATTTATGTTGCTGAGACAGTTGTTAAGTGAGTTTTGCCCCATTTTATGGCTTTGCCATTGACTTCGCAAAGGGAACAAAGAGTAATCACATGATCCCAGGACACTGCAGACGTCATAAATATGAACCAGTTACCAAGCATCTGAATTTTGATCACGTGATCATGAGGGTGCTGGAAAGGTCGTGTGCAAAATGGTCATAAGTCAGTGCATTTTTCAGTGCCATTGAATGCTCACTATACAAATGGTTGTAAGTTGAGAACCACCTGCAGTGATTAGCAAGGGTTTTCAAACTTGGCAAGTTTAAGACTTGTGGATTTCAACTCCCAGAATTCCTGAGCGAACATGACTGGAGGAGGAATTCTGGGAGTTGAAGTCCACAAGTCTTAAAGCTGTCAAGCTTGAATACCCCTGAGTTATAGGGTTAGATTAGGACCTGGGAGACCTAAAAACAGATCTCCTGGCTAACTGGGGCAGGTTCTTCTTTCTCTCAGTCCAGCCTTCCTTGCAGGATTGTTGTGGGAATAATATGAGAAATCCCCAACCCCCATAGAGGTAGTCCTTGACTTACAACCATTTATTTACTGACTGTTTAAGTTACAACAGCACTGGGAACAAAAACTTACAACTGTTCCTTGCACCTACAACTGTCACAACATCTCCACAGTCATAGGATCAAAATGTGAGCGCTTGGCAGCAAAAAAAACCCAGCCATTGGGGAAACTGGAATTGCTTAACCACTGCATGATTCACTTAACCACCAGTGATTTGTTTAACAAAAGCTGTAAAAATGGTTGTAAAATCGGTTCTGACTCAACTTACAACTGTTGACTTATGACTGAAATTCCAGACCCAGTTGTGGTTGTAAGTTGAGACTATATATGGCATTTTCTCAGCCTTATTTGAAAAGGGATATGTGCTTTAAGGGGAAAAGGTGCTTTAGAAAGCTCATGGGATGGCACAAGTATCTCTGGCCTGCAACTTCTTGAACTCTTCCTAGGCTCACATTGCAACTGCAGAAGGTGGTTGTGCAACCCCAGGGAAAAATGACAACTGCAAAAGGCTCCTGGTCTTCCTGCATGAAACACCTATTTTATCCCACTGGTGTATCTTTATTCTTTCTCATTGCATATTTTATTCTATTATTTAACTATTGCTTTGGTGAGATAGGCAGCAAATAAATTTAACAATACATTTGTCCAGCTGTGTAGTTTGCTGTTACAATCTATCCATCCATTTCCATTTGTCCCTTCCAAACATTAACCAGGCCAGGCTCTGGCTAAGTTTCAAACCCAAACAAGCTACGTAGTAGCACATCCAGTTTCTCATTTTAGATCACAGGCTTTGATCTCAGAAGGGAGGAAAAAACGTTGGATGCATCAGATTCCATGTCTTGCTTCCAAGTTCCTTCTCATAAAGGAAAGGAATACCTGAGAAGGGAGTGGGGCAGGAGGCTGGTAGGGCAGGAAGAGATTTTGCTCTCAAGAATCCAAACCCTCCCAGCCCTGCAAGAGCCAGAAATGGCCGAGGGATACTCTAAATACTTTTATGTTCCCTCCCAGGATGTTGAAATTGCCTCTGGCAAGTCTGTGGGGCTTGCTTTGACTAAACAGGTTTTTGATTAACAAGCCAGCCACCCACCTAGCATCTCTCTCTCTCTCTCTCTCTCTCTCTGTGTGTGTGTGTGTGTGTGTGTGTGGTGTGTGTGCTTGTAGCTTAAGCCACTCCATTTGATTAGGGATTTCCTCCCCCCCAACCAAACTGAGAAAATAAATTAGCGTTCATAAATACATGCAGAAAGATGGGTTGAGAAAAAAAGAAGAACAAAGTTTGCCATTCTTTCTTAAAGTAAGACCTACCAACCTGCGGAACCGCCTCAATCCGTGTTAAGACTACAACTCCCCGAATTCCAAGCCAATGACCCGTGTGTTTGCTCGGCGCACTGGGAATTCTGGGAGTCGTAGTTCGTACAAGGGGAGGGGCACTAAATTGAGGTTCGCTGCTTTCCGGCAACGAGCCGTCTCAGAAATGGTACGAAGAAATATAACTTAAAGGATATATTATTATTGGATGGATTTATGACGATTTAAATGAATGTTAGAATATAAATTAAATTAAAATGAATATCTCGCATAAAATGATGGGAAAATAGTAATAGTCAAACAAATGATTAACAATGATTATATATATATATAAAATAACAGCCCCCAATGACAATGCTGCTGCGTAACGTGTGAAAAAGCCTAACCCCCCGCCCCAATCCTCTCGTCGCTTCTCCGTTTTTTTTCCAATCTGGAACTCCCCAAACTTTCCTGTACTGCAATAATACCTCCCAAACGCCAGGGGACTCAACCGTTTCCCCTCCAACCTTAGGATCATAGAGCAGACCGGCCTAGCGAAACAGAATAAAGGGAGAGTAAACCAAAACAGGGAACTTTTGAGAATGTAATCAATTAATGAGAAGGCAGAGCGCCAGTAATGCCTTCTTTTTCTCTTTTAGTGACGACATGCGACGATCCCTTCTTTTCGAAGCCTACTGTCACCCCTTGTCCGAAACTCTTCTCTCCACATGAATCCCCCCTGCTAGTCTCAAAATATGGTACGGCCCAAATTGTTTACGTTTTTTCTTTTTTCTTTAAAAAAAAAAAAGGCTTCGTAGGGTGTGGTCGCTGAAAGAAAAAAAGGAAGTTGGCTGGCTACGCAAATCGCGTCGGGTAATGTTTGACAGACAGAGGAAGTCGGCCAATCCAGCGAGAGCGGGAAGATGCCCGAGAGCCAATGAGAAAACGGACCGGTGGAGTAGGCGGAACTACGATCGGTGAGGGGAAGCTGAGGGGGCAAAGCCGTGGAATGGCGGACGGTTGGGACGGTTCGCTTCGGTGGTGAAGAGCGGAGTGGAAGCGGGTCGGAGAAGACGGCCGTTAGGCGGGTAAGCCTCGCTCCGTGACACGGAGGGGATGTGGAGAAGATAAAGACCAGGGGTCACCCTAAAGAGAGCTAAACTGGAAAGGTGCTCTATATCGTAGTGGGAGTGGCGCCGTTGGGGGTGACGTAGAGGAGGCGACGGCCGCGGAGGAGAGAGGCGTGGCCTATGCGGGTGGTGCCCCAGACAGGTGAAGGGCGTGGCTTGTCCTACGAATGGCGCCTGGAAGTGGAGTGGGACAACACAAACTTCGGGTCCGCGGCTTCTGCTTCCTGCTGGCTCACCGACATCCTCCCAAGTGCACAGTGATGGGTGAAGTAAGTGAATGGGGCTCGCGGTAAGGATTTCGTGGTCCCGAGAATTCGTGGTCAAGGCGAGAGCCAAAATCAGGAGCCCTTCCTAGTCTAGAGCTTCCCCCTGGTTATTCGTCCCTCTGCTTCCTCCCCGAGTTATTTTCATAAGGGTTAGGGTCGGTGAGAGAACTTTTAAAACTGTTTTAAACTTGTCTTACTTGGATGCTTTTGTTCCTTTTTAAAATTGCAACTTAAAACGAGAAGGGTGTTCAGGTTGGATTAAAGGTGAAGGTTCATGCCGCGTCGTTTTTTGAGGGTTATGAAACCTGCAGGTTTATCCTGTTAGTATTCATGGGACCCAAGACTCTGCTGTTCTCATTGCACCATACAAAGACAATAATCTATTTTCCATGTTTATGTTAGATAGGGAATCTGAGAACTACTCGTGGATTCTGGTCTAACCTATTTATTCAGGAATAGTGTTACGTGGTTTTCTGGTTTGGTCCATATCTATACTGGTCCTACTCTCTGCTTGCAACCCGTTGACTATTTAAACAGGTATTGTGTAAAGCAAAGGTGTCAAACTCAAGTCGTCAGGTGATGTATCGGGACTTTTTCCCCCTTTGCTAAACTGGGCAGGGGCAGCGCCAGCATGTAACATGCAGCTTGCGGGCCACAAGTAAATCACAGGTGTGTAGTTTTTACTGTTTGAAAGAATCTTACTAAAGGCAGTGGGGTGGCTTTTTTCAAAGAGCAAAATATTGTGTTGATCTTAAATGGCTTTTAGATAACCAGATTGTGTGGTTATTGGGAGTACAGGTAGTCCTTGACTTTCAACAGTTCGTTTAGTGACCATTCAAAATTACAGTGGCACTGAAAAATGTGACTTAGGATCATTTTTTCACAGTTATGACCTTTGCGGTATTCCCATGGTCATGTGATCAAAATTCAGATGCTTGGCAACTGGTTCTTATTTATGAGGATAGCTGTGTGTTCCAAGGTCATGGGATCACCTTTTGCGATCTTCTGACAAACAAAGCCAGTGGGGAAGCCAGATTCACTTAACCGGGTTACTAGCTTATCAACTTCACTTAACTGTTCACTTAAGAGATTCACTTAACTGTGGCAAGAAAGGTCATAAAATGGGGCAAAATTCACTTAACACCTCACTTAACAACAAAAATTTTGGACTCAATTGTGGTCGTAAGCCAAGGACTACCTGTATTGATAAATTTACCCTGCAGTATGTTTTTTGTAAATTGCTTTATTAAATTTATATTCTGCCCAATTCCCAATGTCTATGCTCCCACATTCTTTCACTCTTGATAAGGAAGTGAAGTTAGTGGTATAAAACCAGGAAGTTCAATATTTAACAGTTAGTGTAGGCACTTGCTTCTTCATAGGACAATCCAGTCAAACTATGTATATATAATATATGTAATATCTGAAGGGGAAGAATTTATTCATCCCAGATTACTTTGAATTTTTACTGCAAATCATTTTGGTATATGGTGGTTGTAGAGTGTTTGAAAACAATTGGATATAAAAGGGTTCTGTTGGTCTACAATACATGGAAATTTGGGCCAGTGCTATTTGTAGATTTAGCCTTCATCCGAAGGAAGATATGTAGATACTGCAAGTGAGGAAAACTCTTGTATTCAGAACTCCATGGGGAATGATGGAACATTAACATTGTTAACATAAACAATTATCTAAGGAATCCCATTGTAATTATATTTAGAACTGTAATTTGCACATGCTAAGTAAAAAAATTCCCAGTGTAAATTCGTAAATCCTTTCATTTCTGTTTGGTATGTGATGTCAACTGTATATGGAATGTCTCTTTATATATGTCATAAGTTGGGGGTGTTTTAATATCGTTTTGGTAAATAGTATAAAACAATCGTGTGTTTCTAAGCTAAATTGCTATTCTTTGAAAATGTAGTCAATGTATGCATTGTACTTTTCATAACATTTCTCTTAGCAAAGATACTTCATAGTGGGATACTTTTAAGCACACAATCTGTTACAAGGATTAGGGAAAGCTTTTTTTTTTTTTTTTTAATGTGAGGTTACTTAGTTTTGTGGGTAAGATGGTAGGGAAGGACCTGGGAACATTGAGGCCAGAAGAAAATCAGGGCATTCTGGCATTTATCTTGATAAAAAGAAAGGCACTGGAGTGATGTAATGAAACCGAACAAAGTAATAGAGGAACAGGAAAGCAATTCTGTGGCTTTAATAGGGTCTTGGAACACACTTCTTGCTGTGATTCATAGACAAGGAAAATGCTGATGCAGGAAAGACTAAACGAAATGAAGAAGAAGGTGGAGTCTCTAAAGAGATATGATGACCTAATCATGTACGAGTTGATTAAGAAACCTATGGGATTTAAGAATGTTCTATCTAAAGTAGAAAATACTGATCATAATTTTCTATTGAGAAAAGAAAATTGGTGTAATAAGTAATAAAGAGAAAGGAGGGCTGTTTCCCTATAAAATAGGTAAACACCCATGCTGACCATAAGTGGGAAAAAGTAGTCAATCTCCCAGATCATAATATATTGTTTCTCTTAATACAGTAATTTGTTGAGTACAGTACTTTTGAACAAGATACAATAGTCTGAAAGCCATTAACAGTGGTTTACAAATCACATTGGCTGGATTTATGCTTCATAGTAAATCAGTGCGTCACATTTTAGCTTTAATATTTTGGGTGGGGGTGGGAGCTGTTTCTGTATCCCTAACCTTAATCCTTCCAATTTTTAAAATGGCCTATATATATTGGAAAATTTATTTTGATCCACACTATGAGAGACAATTGGAGAAATTTGCCTACCAGAGACCTTCTGGTTTCATCTTCATCCCAACTCTTGCTATAAAAAAACAGGACACTTTTAGCCTTATAGTTGAACAGCCTCTTAAAGCACTTTAAAATGTCAGGAGGACAAAATGAAGCCATTGGCTTTACTGGTATTGGAATTCTCTTCCATTGATATTAGAACCCATCCAGTATGTACCCAGGAAAAACTCTGATGTTCTGGAGTTGATAAAGGCTTAGTGGAATGACATGACAGGAAATTGCTTCTATTGATGCTTTGCATGGAAATGAGCATCCTTTGATAAGGAATGCATAATATTTAGGCATATGGATTAGTTTTATACCCTGACATATCCTAGAGGCACTGGTTAGGGAGATGTTATGGTGGTAGTTTGGAAAGTTACTTGGAGTGGGAATTCTCAAGGTATTTGAAGAAATAGATGCAGTCTCCATTGTATCCAAAAAACCCTACGTTGGAATTAAGATGGCAGAAAAATTCCTGTGCCTAAGAGCAAGATATGGGCCTGCTTGTATATGCATATGTATGCCGATGTATGTATATTTTTGGGAGTTTGGAGAGTGATGTACATGATCTCTAGATTCCTCATACATTTGTGCTTTTTCATAGAAAATACAGCCATGTACACTTTAATATTATTTCTTATATTAGTACTTTTGATGGGCCTATGCAAAAAAACAGGTTGTTGGATCACTAAGAATAAAAGTTAATGATTGTTTTGAAAGTGTAAAGATCAGTTGGATAAAAAAATGGATCATTCCACTTTTTTGTGTTTGAGCAATTTTTGCTCTTAGTTTTGTTACATGGTAGCTTCAAGAGGCATAGAAAAATATCAACTGATATAAAATAAGAGTATTAGAATTTTATTAATACTGATTATCTAGAGAGAAGAAAAATAACTGGTGAATTTTTGTTCATTAGCTATGAGAATAATTCTGATATAGCTTGAATTACTAGTTTTACTAGTACATTATGTACCAAATACAAAGTATTGTTAGATTTATGGTTAAGTTTTTTTTTCTTGTATATTCTTTATCTATTTAAAACATTCACATGGAAGTACATTCCACTTGGATTTGTGTTATATATTTCATGCAGTTTTTAAAATTGTAATATATATGTGGTATTGTGTTCTGAATTCAGGGATTTCCTGATTTACTTTGGAGATTTTATATATATGTATGTATGTATGGCATTCAGCTTTGTTCGGGTATTTTCCCACGTCGTAGTCGTGCTTTTAAAGTTGTAGCAACGTTTCGGAAGAATCTCATCTGCCATCATCAGGCTTCTGTATTGTGTTCGTCTTCTGTATTGTGTTCAATCACAATACAGAAGCCTGATGATGGCAGATGAGATTCTGCCGAAACGTTGCTACAACTTTAAAAGCACAACTGTAATGACGTGGGAAAATACCCGAACAAAGCTGAATACCATACATGTAAGTATCCGCGAAAACTTAAGAAAATGTATGTATGTATGTGTGTATGTATGTATGTATGTATGTATGGCATTATCAGTTACTGTTTTTTGTTAGACTTGTTTATCTTCATTCTTCTACAGTGGCTCCTAGATTGCCTTTGAGTTCCCTAGAACAGGGGTCCCCAACCACCGGTCCGCGGACCGATACCAGTCCGTGGAACAAGTCCTACCGGACCGCTGGCTTGCTGGGCGCCGCGATCTTTTTTTGATGAAAAAGTGCTTCCGGTGAGCTTTTCCGGGTAGAAAGCTCACCGGAAGCACTTTTTCATCAAAAAAAGATGGCGGTGCCCAGCTAATGCCGGTACCAGGCCGCGCCATAAAAAAGGTTGGGGATACCGGGCCGCGGCGTAAAAAAGGTTGGGGATCACTGCCCTAGAACACTGATTGCCAACTGGTGGGCTGCGAACCACTGGTGGTCCATGAGAAAATTTTGATGGTCTACAGAGAAATGTCCTCCCCAAGCACCCCCCCAAAGCAATTAATCCAGGCTGCATGGGAACACAAGGCTGCGCTGCCCACATGGCCCACCCACCTGCTGGCCCCCACCATTTGGCTGAGCGCATACCTTACCTTGAGTAGAGCAGCCATGCGAGCTGGAACTGGAAAATAAGACCAATGGTGAAGGAGGGAAATGCTCCCTGGCGTGGCTTGCTGACATTGGTGGGAAAGTCGGTCCCATATTCCAGAGCTGCAGTAGTCACAGGACTGG